TAATAAGTTATAGTAGTCTTAAAAGACTATTATTTTTAAGTTAGTGCGTTTTTAGAGAGCTAGAGCTTAGTCTATATTAGAAATTATAACTGCGTAGATTTTATAATCTAGTTATTAAGCTAAAGTTATAAATAAAGTAGGTTTTATATAGTAGATGTTTATCTACTATTTAAGTTCTAGTTTATGTTTAAATTAGGTAAGTAAAGATTTTTTAAAGGCTTTTTTTTTTTAAGTTTAAGTAGTTATTAAATTATTTTACATAGCCTATCTTAGTAAAAGGCCTAGCTTATTAGCCTTACTTAAGTAGTTCTTTTCTAGGTTATTAAAAAGTAAGTCTAAAAACCTTTTATATTAAGTGCTACTTAGGTGTTGTTTAGGTGTAAGTGTAAGCATATATCTTAGCATTAAAAAAAGTTAAAGTTTAAAACTTACTTTTAGTAATTAAAGGCAACTTTATGCTAATACAGCTATAGTTGTTTTAGAATTAGGTTATAATATTTTATGTTTATTACATAGAGCTTAATCTGCTCCTTATAGTGTTAGTAAGTAATTATAATAGTTATAGTATAGAAGATAAAACTTTTTTTAAGTTATTTTTTATTAAATCTAGTTAGGTAAATTATTTAGGTAAGTAGTGTTAATTAAAGATTTAGTTTACATACTAGTTTTTTATTAATGTAACCTATACTATTTACTTCTAAGTTAATAAGAGCTTATATTAGAGCTAATATAGTTTCTTATTATAAATATATAAAAATATTAACTTAGTACTTTTAGTTATTAGTAAGAGACTTAGCCTATAAGTTAGTAAAGATCTAGTGTTAAATTAGTTCTAAAGAGTAACTTAGCCCTAAAACAAGCCTTTTTACAGGCTTCTACTGCTATAGCTGCAGCTATGTTAAGAGTAGCAAAAAAGATTAAAGCTTAAATATAAGTTAAAGCCTTTATTAAAATAATATTAAAATAGTAAAAATTTTTAATAAGTGCTAGTAGCACTACTTATATAGACTTAAAAAAAAGAAATAAAGTAGTTTTAAAAAATATAACTATGCTTACTACACTTAAAGTATTAACTTTTTTTTTTATAATCTTTACACTTTTTAGAACTAACTAAAGCATAATTTAAATTAATTTTTATTATATTAGGGTCTTTATTTATAACTGCGCTAGTTTAGGGGTGTATTAGGGCTTATATAGGGAGGAACTTTATGTTATTATTATAGGTAGTAATTAAGTTTGCATACGCATTAAAGTTGTTTAGAAGGGGTTCTCCTACTATAGCGCGTTACAGTTTAGTTAAGAGGGAGTTATATAAGGCTATAATTAGACCTATCTTATTTAGGCCTATATTAAATGCAAGTTAGCAGAACTTAGTAAAGTGTAAAGTAAAGCTTTTTTTTTTTTATTATAAAGTATTTAAGCAACTTAAGGCTGTTAACTCTTTATTTAAGTCTTTATAAGTTACTTATAAAAGCACTATAAATTAATCTAAGTTAATAATATTTTTATTTATTAGTAAGTTAATTAAGGCTATTATATTATAGTTAAGTTAAAAGTAGGTGTATAGTAACTAGAAGCATTTAAAAAGAAATTAGCCTATGTTTTCTTTAAGTTTATATTAAAGCTTATATAGAAAAAAAAGTAAGTCTTTTTATTTTCTATTAAATAGTAGAGGATTAAGAAGTTAGTTAGATTTTATTACTAGGTTAAAAAGGTTATAAGTTATAGGTAGTGTTAAGTAAAAAAAAGTTAAGCTATCTCTAGACTTTTAAGTAAGCTTTAAGGCTAGTAAGTTCTTAGTTTCTACTACTATAATAGAAGTTAAGGTAGAAATAGACTGCTTAATAATATAAAGATGTTTTTTAAAGTTTTTTTAAAAAGCTTTAAAGCTTATAACATAGTAGCTTTTTTATAAAGTAAGCGCTTTTTAAAAAGCTTTTTAGCTTACTTTAATAGCTTAGAGTTATATAAGTACTAAGCTTATTAGATTAGATTTAGAGGCTATTCTTAGCTAAAGTTTTAACATAACATAATGTTATAATTATGCATAAGTAAGGTTATAAAGCTTTATAGAGGTCTAGTTTAATTACTACATAAAGTATTATAGTAAGTACAAGACATTATATAAGAAATAGAAAAGTTTAGAAGAAAATTAGTAATTAAATACTTAGCTTAAAAGTCTAAGTGCTTTAAGTATAAATTAAGCCTATTTTAGGTTTAGTTAGTGTTAAGGCGGTTTGTGCTTAAGTTTATGTCTGTGTTGTGTTGTGTTTGTGTTAGACGTGCACTAATAATACTCTAGTACGCGTCTAATACGGTTATGTCTGGGATCCGGGGAGGATACCGTGACACACGCAACTAATCACAGCCTGCAACTTAGCGTAGCTAATGCTAATCCCTAACACACTAATATAGCTAGAGAGGTAAAACAGACGTAACTAACTATAATTTAAACATGCTTTACACAATACATGCTAGAGTAAACTATATGCAAATTAACATAAAAGTGTACTTATATTAAGTATACATCTTTTTAAAAAAAAATGTAAGAAATATATAAAGTAATTAAGAAATAGTGTTACTAGGGCTTATTTAAAGAAATTATAACTAACTAGCGCGTTTAAAAGAGAAGATTCTGCTTAACGTTTTATTCTACAAATCTGAATATATTAAGCAGAGCAAGCTCTGCTAACAAGCTTTGCTAATAAGTTAGCTATAGAATTAGCTTATAAATATTGTCTAGTATGTTAGTTATTTATTATCTTTTAAAAAACTTTGTACGTAGCTATAGTATGTTATTTTAAGATTATTACAAGTTGTTTAAAACTCTATAGTGTAAGCAATATTTATTATTGTTTTTAGCGCGTTTAAGTAGTGTTGTTAGCAATGTAGTAGTATAGAAAGAGTAGTTTAGTAGAGTCTTAGTAGAGGGAAGTAACTTAGGTGTGTAAGCAACTCGCTTATAGTATACGTTAATATATAAACACTTTAAAGTATAAAAACTTATAGAAGGAACTTTAAAAGAAATGTAACAGTTACAACATACTAAGTCTAACATAACTATATAAAAAGGTTGCATAAGAATGTAATAACTACAGACAGAACATAAACTATAAGTCTAAACTATATAGGCTACTATAACCTATAGAAGCTCTAGACTAACTTTAGAAAATAATTATAATAAACTTTATTAAAGAACTCTCTAAGTTAGAAGAACTAAAAATACATAAAATATATAATGCTACTACTATTATATAAGATAAGACAACTAAGTATGTATACTTTTAGCTATTAGAAAAGTTAATAGTTATACAGAAAATGGCAAATAAACTACATAAGTATATTATTACTAACTATATAGTTCTAAAAGTTATTATGTTAAATTAAAAGAAGCGATTTATCTTAAAGTATTAGTAACATTTAATAAGAAACTAAAAAAATAAAGATTTAACTATCTATAGCATATTGTCTAAAAATAAACCAACAAACTAAATAAATAAACTAGACGCTATTAGAATACCTACAAAAGTACATTAATATAAAAAGAAAAGACTAGGTACAGCAGCTACTAGCAGCCTAGTTTACTTTTAACACCTAAGATTGTAGAAAGCGGGGTATAATTGAGTTGAACGTTGATACTGTTCGGAGCAGGGTAATCCAAAGACGTGGGAAAGGAGAATTCGCGAGCCAATACACGATAGATTCCTTCGTCCGTCGAGCCGCTGAAGGAAGAGAGTATGTAGGCGGCCTTTTCAATGATCCGGGTTCGCGTGTCCTCTAAAACTACGCTCAAGTACTCTACGTGTGCGATCAACGCCGTGAGCTAGCGCACAGCGATGCTGCGCGTAGTACCGCGAGCCTTCCCCTACTACCTCTTTCTTCCTCGGCGTCTTCTTCATCCTAAGATGCGTAGCCAGAGTCGACTATGTTGGTGTGGGAGCAGGCATATCTCGGTCTTCTTCTATTTTGCGAACGATATGGGCAACCGAAGGGGGTGGTAAACCTCACACAAATTTCGCAGCGCAGCGTCGACGGTCCTTTCGCCAGCAAGGCAAAGTGAACGCACAGGGCGCAAGCTGCTCGGAGGGAGGGAGCATTCCTCCCCCGAAACCCATTAGACCTCTCAGGAAGCAGGGAAGGCGACGAAAAGATTGCATGAGAGAAGTGGAAAGAGATTTCGGGAAAGAGGAACATATAGTAGACTACCGGAACCAATGCTCTAACCGACTTTCGGCTTATCCACAGCCCTTATCCATAGCCCTCTTATCACCGCTCATCACCGTCAAGGCGTAACAAAGCCGCATCCCGACCCCAAAGTGGATATAAATAGCTGACATGGCTCGTGCAGTTATCGTGAAAGAGGATGGCTGATGCAAAGTGACCATTGTTGCGACTTCATGAGTCGCGACCTGGATCTCTGCAACTTTTCCCACGATGCTTAGCGCAAATTAGAGCTTCAAAATTGCCATATAGTTCGTTAAAGTGATCCATTCGCCGATTCGCAATTAGCCTAATATAAGTAATGCAACTTTCCCTGTCAAGACAACTACCTAGTATCTGCGTATTAATAAGAGTTAGCAAAACGTTAAGAATGGCAAAGTTGTTCTGTGTACTAAGCCTGCTGCTTTTTAGCTAGAGTAGATTAATGAGCAGGAGGACCTGTAGCTCTACACTGTACCTACCCAGGGTGTTAATATACATAGTGATTTTCGCCGCATACTCGAGAATTGCGAACTAGATAGAATATACAGTTTTCTTTGCTTCCCAACGTCGCAGGTAATGTTAGGCTTACTAAATAAAACAATAGTCCGCTCTCAATCTAATAGTCATACTCCGCTCCACTATTAAGACTATGTCCAGCTCATGTTGCTGGCCTTGGTTATATGCCATGTGCGATCGTACACAACTCTCCTTACCCTCACGTAGGAAGCGGCTTACAAGTCCCACTATCGCAACACACCGGATCCTCAGCCAAACAAGCCCCATTCACACAATGACACTGACAACTCCCATTCGCACAGCACGCCATACTCCCTGGCGAACACCCACTTTCCCCACAACTGCAATTGAAATCCGCCGGTCTCGCAGGCATAGGCGGAGCAGGCGGAACCGGCTGATCACCGCCCCCAGGTTTGAGGTCCAGCGGTTTATTATCAGGATCATCGACACACCGATCCACCGTGGCGTCTTTCCCCACATCACTACAGCTCTGAGGCTGTGCGCGATACGCTTGTAGTTGGAAAGCGTCTGTCTGGGTGACGCCGAGGCTATTCATAATGGACTCGGTGTCGTTGACGAGGCTGATGATGCCGTTGTCGTTGAAGACGGCGAAGGAACCGCGCGAGGGGGCTTGAATGGGGCGGTCGATGTCGGGGACTTCGGGGTGCCGGGGGTAGTCGCCTGCGCGAGAGGTGGCCCATACGGCGAGGGCGTACAGGGCGAGGTTGTCGGCTGAAGACTGGTTAGTGTGGAGCGTAAATCATTAACCTGGTTGGGTGGGGGACACAATGAGGTTTCATATGAGCGTGTTTCAGAGATCATGGTTTCGTACCGTTCGTTGCAACGTAGAGGCCTCCACCGAGTGTGTATTTTGCCATTGCCTTGGTGAACTGTGGACCGTACGCCATGAGGTTCATGATGTCGCCGTCGCGGCTCCTGATTTTGATCATCCGGTCCCAAATGTGTGTGACCTTGTATTTAGTGACCGCACTAGGCATTTGATCGATGTGAAAGAGTTCGTGGAGTGCTATGTAGCCTAGGAAACGTAGCGTCAGTAATGCTTCATCCATTGCAACACGGCTTTCGGCTCTCTCCCAAAGCGAACATAGAGTGTGAGCAGGAGCCGCAGTGCTCAAGAGAGTCGAGACCAGACTGACCGCGACATTCATAATTCTTCAGACGCAACCGGTTGTAAGATCCGGCAGGATAATCGTTGACAGCTTTGTTCATCGCATCATTGCATGTAGGAGTATCGAAGAATTTCGGACAGAAATTTATGGATCCAACATGCGGTCCATCTGAGCTGGTTGTATATGCAGCTGCACGATACGACCACTCCACAACATCATACTGCCCATCATCGGGGTTTCTCTCCGTACGCGCTGCCCAACATCTGCTATTACCTATATATTGTCAGAACCGGAAAAAGTTTGCGCAGTGCCAACATACATCGATATTCCCATTCGGGCTTAGTCCTTCCTGGGCAATTGAGCTCTGCACGACGCAGGTGATCATCACAGCGCATGTTGAGTTGCCAGGCCAAAATCGTTCCGTCGTCTTTCCACGTTTCGATGTTTTTGAGAATGGCTATACGCCATAATTAGCTGGACTCCCCTTCCAAGTGCGAGCGACTCGGTTGATTAACTAACCTTGAATCTCAAACTGGTATTTCTGATTGTTCATTTCAGATCCGAAGAAGTCACGCGTAGCCTGTATTCTCTGTTAATATCCCAAGCAAAAACCTGAATCAGAAATAGTGAGGAAAAGAACGTAATAAGAAAGGACAAGATGCTGCATCTAGGAGCCTTACAGGAGCCTTCCAGTCAACATCCATGTTGACGGCTTTTCCTAGCATGAGTAACTCCTTCCAGGCAGCTCGAATGTCCGACTGTTGGGCTTCACTGCATCCCTGCCATCCTTCAAAGCGAATAGCTGCTGGATTGATATCTTGTCTCCGCAGTAGGCTGTTGGATGATGCCTCAACATCTTCGTTGATCGTTGGAAGAGCGAGCGCCGGGGTAGCTGTGAGCGAAAGAGACGCAACAAGAATGCTGAGGGAAGCCAGGATTCGAGCCATTTCAGCTGTTGTATTTGAGGCTTAAAACTGGGAGAGGATATTGGTTTGCTAGCTTTTGCGGACCGGGACGTTGAGCTCTTTATAGCTTGCTCTCGTGAATTCACCACCTTGCTCTGATGAGGCTTGGATCGATTCGACGGAAATTGGTAGTGGAACGTCAACCATGAACTCGCATAGTCTGACTGGAGGATGCCATCACGAACATAGATCCTCTGGGGAGGAGGCTGAAGAAGTCTTAGCTGTGGAGTCATTGGACTCGTTAGACGCCTGCAGTCGGTATGGGTCGTGCCTACGGAGGTCTTGGTACTGTTCAATTGGCTAAAATCTCGCCCGGCAGCAAACTTCTCCCGAGCGTCAAATTTGAAGCTGAAACTATACGATCTTAATAATCTGCATATTGTTCAATGTGGTCTAGTGAAGAGAATATGACGGACGGGCAATGGTTAGGCCATGTTGGTGAGTGTAAGCCTTACCCGAAATACTTCCATCCCTGCAGAAAATCAGCATAAACGAAGGGGGGCTGTTGATTCGTCAACGTAGGCGCTCCTGTAGTCCTTGCAGTACCAGCAGGCCACAGCAGGTTCGTAAACCGTTGATAGGAACCAAACAGGGCGCGACGTGTTAAAACAACGCGGCGATAGTACCAACGTTAAAACGCGCCTATGAATTATTTAGCTGCTAGCTCCAGCCTAAAGTTTGCAGTGTCTAGCAGCAACGCGGTCATGCAATATTAGCAGGCTAAGAGAAGCTAAAGGCGACAGAGGCCTAGCAGTGTGTTGTGAACTTGCCTCCGTAGGGCTACAAGCTCTTTCTTGACAGCTGGTGAAGATATGCATCAACTAGGCTAATAGTCTGTCAAGGAGTTTTGCTTCTGTAAGGTGGATTGTAGGTGTAGGTGTACGTGGCAATGATCTAGTACTGTGCACAAGGGCAAGACAAGTTATGGAATAACCAAGTGTCTATTCAGTGAAGAAAGGGGAATAACTACGAAGAGACAATCTGAGTATGAGATCCATCCTCCTTATATATCGCTTCTGTTGGCTACGCGGGCGCTATATTAGCGGGAGGGAGAGCTATCTCACAAGTCAGCCGCTCTACAGTTGATTTCGCGTTCATGCTATTTTTAGACTAAATAAAACTTCTAAAATTTCTAGGCTAATTAAAAGTTAATTACTAATTATATATAAAATTATTTCTAATGTGTTTAACATTTTTTAGTCTATACTTTAATACTGTACCTTATAGGCAAGCTACCTACACACTTAAGTTGCTTACTTTTACTATAACTACACTAAACTACTCTATTTACACTAATGCATTTCTAATAACACTACTTAAATATGTTAAAAAAATATTAGATATTGCTTATACTTTAGGCTTTTAAATAAAATATAATACTTTTTAAGTAACATGCTATAGCTATATATAAAGTTTTTTAAAAAAATAATTAATAACTAACATATAAAATAACATTTATAAGTTATTTTTATAGCTAACTTATAAAAGCTAAATAATAATAAAAGTAAGTAATGTACACTACAGGCGAGTTACTTACTGTCAGATTGAAGCACTGTTTCTAGGCTTCCTGAGATGAATGATGGGTTTGGATATGATGTATAGGATGATTATTGATTGTATTGATTTATCGATCCTTTCTCTGCTCTACTCGTGTTGCTCGGCTTTTGTTTTTCCGATCCGAGTCCCTCGCGCACTAGCCCTATGCGCGACCAGCTTGCAACATGCTGCAAAATCCTGCAAAATCCTGCAAAATCCTGCAAAATCCTGCAAAATGCTGCAAAATGCAGCAATTTGCAGCAACATACTGTTCGAGCTTATTGCTCGTACTATGTAGCAGCTTTCGTCCAGCGTTCCTCCTGTCTTGACAGTAGGTGCGCATATCTGACACTTACACACCTAAGCTGCTTACTTTTGCTAAAATTCTACTTAACTACTCTTTCTACACTATTACATTCCTAACAACACTACTTAGACGCGCTAAAAGAATGTTAGATACAGCTTACACTCTAGACTTTTAAACAAGACATTGTAACAGCACAGGCAAGACAATAGGTCCGAATGCGGTGGGAATCCACTCAGAGGCATATAGAAGTGTGTGGGGACTTAGAACCTAGGAATTTCTATTAACACCTATAGGCCTTGTACAAAGGATATTAGATAACTACTAAGCTAGCTAAGAGAAAAGGTGCAACTAAATACTTAAAAAGAAATAAGAGTAACTATAGAGAACAGGATTAAGCTATAGTTAGAGCTAATACAGGGACCCTTTAGATAGGTTCTAAGCAACCTAAGATAGAACAATTTGTAAGAATTGTTATACTACCCCCTTTTTATAGGCTAATTGTCCAAATAGCAGTATTTGGATACGCAGTTAGGCGTTACGTGTCATGGTCTTGTGTCACAGTTGTACGCACAGACAGATAAATACCCCTTTCCTTTGCACAGAATTAGAAGAAGGAGAATTAACACCAGTTACCTGCAACCCCCCTGCGCAATGTATACACTATGCAAACCTCTTTGCTTTGTATAGCTAGCATAGAGCTTATTTAACACGAATTAGTAGTTTAAATGCTGTAAGATAGGAAGCTTTTTTTATACCTTTCTATTTAAAAAATTGTGTATAAAAGAAATTTTTTTTCTTACTAATTTAACTATAAATTAGTAAGAGTAAAGACAGAGTCTAATTTACATGTAAGTAGCTATAAATCTCTATTTAGTTACTTAATAAAAAGTAGAAAACCTGTCTGTATAATACTATTTAAAGGTATTATATAAATAGTAGTGCTTATTTAATACTAAAAGGTTTATTTTATTTTTTTGCACAAGGCTATTTAGAGGCAGTGTACAACAAAAAGTAAGATAGTGCGCAACAACGCATAACTAACTACTATAAAGTAACAAGCAACACTAGCTCTATCCCTAACTAGCTAACATAATGTATTAATGTATAACTAATACATACCTCTAGTAGGCATCTTAGCAAAGACTCTAGCAGAGCAGATAAATATTAAAAATTAAGTAAATAAAATTAAACTATTAAATAACACACTTAAAAAAAAAGCTTAATTTATATATAGCTAACTTAATTATAAAACTCTACACATTAAGCATAATAGAGGTATAAACTTTTAAAAACTTTTAAGACAACTTTATAAAGTAAAAGCTTATATACTTTAAAAATCTTAGCTAACTATTTCTATAAAAACTAATTACTACCTTATAGAATAAAGGCATTAGTTTTAAAAAAGATAAAATAAAAGCTATTACACTATATAAACTTATAAAAAAAAACACACTTTTACTATTTTATTAAACTACTATACTAAACTATTACTACTAGCGCTAGTTCAAACACTATAGAGAATATCTTTATATAAATTACCTATAGACGTAATACTTTCTTTATAATTAGTATAACTACTTTATAATAGCTTACTGTATAAGAGTATAACTAGGTAGCTACATATTTCTGTAGCTACAGCTCTGCATAAGACTCTCTAAAGGTTGTACCTACTGCATATAATTTAATTACTGTATAATCTATACTAACTTCTACTTATATAAGATATTATAGCAGAGAACTTTACACCTAAGAAGGTTATATAATTCTAAAAGGCATAAAGAAAAAAAAATAACTATATAAAGTAACTATATAATATTCTAGCTAATAAGGCTATAGTATTTATTAAACTCTACTAACACTTTATTATTTATAAAGCTTTATATACAAGCATTTTTTCTAATATCTTTAAAGGCTGCGTACATATGTTCTACTTTTATAATATTAGTTCTAAAAAGATGTAAAAGGTTTTATATAAATAGCTTAGTAATTACTTTAATACTAATATAAATTATAACTAGTATTAGATAGATTAAATAATAATAAGCTTTGTATAAATTAAGTTAAAGAACTTTATAAAAACTTTATATAAAGCTTTTAAAGCTATAATTAATAGGCTTACTTTTATATAAAAAGCTTTTAGTCTATAATTCTAAGGTAAGATACAACTTTACACTACTATTATATAAGCATACTAAGAATAACTTAACTTAAATAAGTAATATTCTTAATTAAGCTTATATATAAAGCACTATACAGTAACCTTTATTTAGCACTTTAAGTTATAATTAATTAGTAGAATAACATATTTCTAAATAAACTAGAAAATATGTACTACACTAATAAAAGATACAACTCCTCTTATATAATTAGCTTTTAATAATATAAAAAAAGTCTAAAAAAATTTAAATTACACTTTTTTATATAATTAAAGCAATTCTTTATCTGCTATAAAAAAGAATGTTAGTTAATAAATTATCTTTATATAAATTAATCTTATGCAAAACACTAGTACATCTTTTTATATAAAAATTTTTATAATAAAACTCTAATATATAAAAAAGTAAGCATGTACATTTAAAAATTTAAAGGTAAACTAAAGTAAAAAGAAAAAAAGTTATATAATAATAACTTAAATAAAAAGAAAAGTAAAAAGATTAAAATACTACAACAGTTTATACATGATCTGTAAAAGCAAAGCTTGCTTAGAGCAATAGTTAGCACATTAAGGTAGGTGTAAGGCCGGATGTCCTAGAGCGGGCTAGTATGGCCTCCCCTAACCTGTTTAGAGGTCACATGACCTGTACTTTGTATATAAGCATAAATTCTAACAAGTAAGGCCTAGTAGCAATTTATCCCTCTTATAATACACTTCTATCTTTAAACGCTTACTTTTAGTGCTATTTATGTTACTTACTATTCTATCTTTATAGTAAGTTATTTAGGTTAAAGAATAGTTTATAATAATTTTTATAAATTATTTTATCTTAAGTTGCTTAGAACTTATCTAATAAGTTTTTATATTAGCTTTAACTATAACTTAACTTTATCTTTTATAGTTACTTTTATTTTTTTAAATATTTAGTTACACCTTTTTTTTTTAGCTAGCTTAGTAGTTTTCTAATATTTTTTATATAAGGCGTATAGGTGTTAATAGCATTCCTAGGTTCTAAGTCCCCACGCACTTCTATATGCCTCTAACTAGATTCCTACTGCATTTAGACCTATTGTCTTGCCTGCGCTGTTATATAGTTGTAGCATAATGCTTAGCAAATTAGTATTAGATAGGTAATAGACATATAATAATAATATTTAACTATAGCACGCCTAAATGCCACCACACTAAACGCACGCCTAAGATTAATAACCGCACAGATAGCAATAAATAAAGGTCTTAATAATTAACAGGCTAGACATCTATACAGATCACTATCAGAACAGGCGCGCATGGCGTTGGGTATGGAGGACACTGTGTTACGGCCAACAGTCAGACCGTAATAACCCAACTGGCTGTCCCACACAGCCCGAACGATGTCGGATGGAAGACGCTTAGCCCCGCGCTAAGCGAATCACGTGACAGAACGGATGAGGAATGGCTTCAGCTTTTAGACAAAAGCCTCGCAGAGTGCACCGTCTAATAAGGACTAGAGCATTGCAGGTAATGCAGGTATTGCAGGTGGTCGCAGGCAATGCATGCAACACCTGCAACGCATGCAAACGCATGCAAACCTTATGTATATAGTTTTGCTTACAACTATAGTTAGAAGGCTGTGATTACTATTAAGTCTATTTACTACACCTCCTATCTAATAGACTAAGAAGCTGTAATACCTTTCTAAAAAGGACACTGCTGCCTTGTATATCTTGCACTATATATACCTCTATTCCTATCCCTACAGATTAGGTTTACTAGCTCCCTATACAGCTGCTAGGTTAAACCACAAGCCTGCCTACCTTACCTTCTCTTAACCTATACTCTGCGTAATAAACTGTACACTTAATTAAGCTAAGTCCTTCCCTTTTTGCTAACATACTAATATAGGCTAACGTACTCTTAAAAACACTATTTTACTAGAGTAAGGATTATAACAGTAATCACTACCCCCTACAAAGTATGGCTACTACCACCTCAGACATCAGCATAATAGGTGCTTTAGCCGCTGGCACTAGCCTAACTCCTACAGCAACTAAGGAAGCATAAAA